TCCAGTCAGTGTGATAGAGGCACCTTAGGAAATTATTTTTATTTAGCATTTTAGATCATGGTAGTACCTTGAGGCCTTCCAGGCTCCACTGTGCTGTGTGTAGTATATGTATGGTATAAACAATAGTCCCTAGGGTACTTGGAAACAGTCAACTTGTGGATATTTTTTCCTTTATTTCCTTTCTGTTTCCATCCTCAGTTTCATTACTCAATTCTGAATGGATTTGTTTATAATTAAAAGGGTTTTGTTTTGCTCCCTACTCTGGTTGTCTGGCTTGTTCTCAATTAGTTTTCTAGGTTATACATTTTTCAGTGACCTGTCTTCTAGTTGGAGTTATAAAAATACAGCACAAGTGCTGTTTTCCTTATTCATGAAATCACCCTTTTACATTATTTAAAAGTGCGTACTAGGAATTGCCATTTTTGGAGTGGCTAGAGCCATGTAGTTCTGTACCTTTTGGCATATCTATTTTCATCACTTAGAAAAAAAACACACATGAGCTTTTCACCCTATAATGAGTTAAATTTAGTGGTCTGAAAAAAATGTTTTTTAAAATATTTTTTAGATAGGTCTTAAATGTACCTGTTTGATTTGTGGTTCTGAATTGTGTTACGTTTCCATGCAGGAAAGATATCGGTTGGCTGGGGATTGGAGCAGAAAAGTGTCCAAGATTTTATTTAAAAAATATTAAAAAGAAATTGAGGTTAGAAGCAAGTTTCCTTATAGTAATCTGCCATGTGCCAACGTATCTTAAAACTGCTGGAAGCACTGATGGTGGTTGCTGTAAACTAAATGTATGGCTCTCTCTCTCAAAAAGCATACATCTGTTTTGGTTTTACTGGTAGTACATGGCATGACACACTCTTCCAAAATGTGCATCACATGCTGATCAAATCAGAACATGTTCTTTTTTTTTATTTGTTCAGAATAAATTCACTGAGTTTGCTTTTGTGGTAATTTATATAGAAGGTATAACAGTTAAGTGATTCCCTTAATATTACTAGTTGTTCTGGTTTACATCACAGCTGTTTTTGCAAAAGCTCGATTTGTAAATATGGATCCAAAGAAAGATATGATTTTATAATAATACAAGGTGATGCAAATATTTTGATGTTTACATGTTTGAGGAGATTATTAATTTATATGGAAGTATATTATGCTTTCATTTATAAAATCTTTCAGACCTTAGTATTCAAAGTGATGTAAATGTGGTTTAAATATAGTCCTTAGCTTGTAACAAGAGCTGTCAAGTTTGGCACAAAGTCGCTTAACAAAGAGCTGTGCATAACACAGCTTGGATTGCCTCAAACTTACATTTTCTCTCACCTGAGTAATATGTGAAAACAGACTGGCTTCAAATATGATCTTTTGGAGTCACTCTCTCAGACTTGACTGGGGAGGTAGCCATGACAAATCTTTGTAGATGATGCCCATAGGGTGAGACTTAATTAAAAGTTGGAGCAGCAACATGAGAGGGGAGAAATTTTAGCGTAGAGTAGATAGCTGCATGGGAAGAGATGGGATGTACTTAAGCTGTCGTGGAATCCATGTTTTATGGCTTTGGATTTCCTATACTTGTGCTTTGGTTATGAAGCCTCCTTATTCTCTCTCCCAAACCTCTGTAAAAACTCAGAAGCATTTTGGAATATTGCCCACTTACTGCTAGACAGTGTCCTTGTATTATGCAATAACAAGTCTAATCACTGAATTAATACTTGAAGTTAAGTACAGCTGCTTTTGTGTTGGTCTTCAGTTGAAACAATTACACACAAAAAAGTTAAGTCCATGAAGTTGAGTAGTAAAACTCAAACACTGAAGAATAGTTACATAAAACACATAGAAAATTCCATCCAAAATATTTAAACTTAAACCCAATATTGCTGCTTAGTCCCTACTGCACATTTTTACTTAGAGCAAATTTTCTAATAGGGGATGACTTTGCGCTTTGATTCATGTTCTTGAAAAGTGATACTGTTTTCATTGTTTAGTGAAATGTTTATTGGAGTAACATTGACTTTTATCAGCAAAACAGCCCCTTCACTTTCCAGGTGTCTTTAAAGAAACTATCAGTGATGTAGATTTTCCTTTCCTTTAGGCCAAGTGTGTCAAATTCATCCTGATCCTTGGGCTGTATCGAGTCTGCAGGGCTTCTCCTGGGCCAGGTCCAAAGGCAGTGGGAGTGGGCCAGGTGGCTGCAGGGCAACCCAATGCTATCTTGCACAGCTCTTGCTTGTCCTCTTGCTGTCAATAGCCAGCAGGGCCTAGGGGTCCAGGTTTTTGTGACAGGCCCCTCTTCTCTGGAGCCATAGTGGCTCCGCCAGCCAAGTGTTTGACACACCTGGTTTAGGAAGAGCAAGAAATTCCTTCTACCTTCTCCTCCTTTCTAACATTAGGAAGCAGAAAGTAGTGGTGGTAATATTTCTTCAGAAACTCCGTTGCAGCCCTTTATTGCAGCTTGTTTAAAAACAAAAAAGTCAATTAGGAATGAAAATTAAAGTGCAGAAATATAGCGTCTTCTAACTTTTCTGCTGCAATCTATGCACAATATTTTGACATGGATTTTGTTCTATATTTAGTACATCAAGCATGCTTCGGAAATAGGTTGACTGTTAAACTCAGGCATGGCCTTTAGTAAGAAATGAGACTGTAAGGAAGGTACTGTTGCTTTTTTTCCCCTTAATTTTGAGTTTTTGTGATGTGAAAAATTTTCCAGTCACCACTAATGAATGTCCTTTTTTGCTTGAGAAGCACATATCCTTAACTGTTGTGCAGAAGTTATTATGAGACTTGAAACAATTGCTTCAGTTATGTCCCTAAGTCAGCCTAGTTTTAAAAAACAGGATGGGGAGTTGGAGTAGAGAATGAATGCTTATTGATATTTTTAAGGTTAGTTTAATGTTGAGTCCCCCTTTACCTTTCTTTCATCTTCTGTTTAAAATACGATTCCACAGTTTGAGCAATGATTAGATCCATTTCCACTATCTTGTAAATCCCTACTCAACTTCATTCCTTCTTGCACCTGTTTCAAAGCAGTGTCGTTTCTTTCTTAATAAAATTTGATCTGCCAGTAAGTATCACTTTTCGATATGGGTCCAATTGTTGGTTTGGTGATTGTGTCGTTGGCAAAGCCTCGGTACGTGCAAGAGAGACATGTAAATGCAACCGGGCAGCCAGTGTTATGCATATCTGACAGATTGACCATGTGACAGAGGACAGGCAAGAACTTTGCATTATTAAATGATCACTGATCATGAATAAAAGGTAACACTACCTGAAATGGTATGGTTAATAAACAGGTTGAGCATACCTAGGCTTAATTCTCTTTATGTATAACTAAGCTATAAATAGCCTGTTTTCATGTTTTATTTGGGTTAACTACATAACTGTAGGAACTCTTGCCCATTGAGATGAATAAGGGCAAATGTTTTGATGGCTCATTTAAAAGAATGTTGTTTAAAAATTAAAAAACCCTTGTTGATATCATTAGTTTACATAATCTGCAGATTTTACCACATTTTAAAACGCAGAGGATTTCTGCAAATGTAAGGTGGTGTCATTTTGTTCATAAATGGCCAGTGTTGAATCTCTCTAAAATACCTATTTGTTTCTGAAACTCATTTAGGGTTACACTTGCACTGACTATTTCTTATCCTAATGGCAGCAGGCACTGGTAGAGAAGCACATTTTTACAGCATTCATAGTAAAACAAAGTGGTTTAGAAAGAAAAAGTCCACTCTGGTTTATGTCCACTGTGTGTGAGATTTATATAGACCCCAATCCTGCAAATACATGCTTACCTTTCCTACAGTGAGCAGTCCCAAGAGTGGCCTATTTGCAGAAGTAAAGCATGTGTCAGAAGAACATAAGTGCTATATATGGTCAGAGCAATGGCCCAGTCTAGCCCAGTAGTCTGTCTTCGTGACAGTGGCAGAAATGGATGCTATACAGGGAGAGCATCAAACCAGGTATCTCTGGAGTGATCTATCCCCTATTCAGTACCCTCCTTGGCATCTACCATTTATTGGGTTAGAGATGCCAGAGGAAACATCTCCAGCCTTTCTGGTCAATAGCCATTATTTAGATCTATCATCCAAGAATTTATCCAGTTCCTTTTTGAACTTGGCAGTGCTATCTGCCTCCACCGCCTCCTGTGGCAATAAATTCCACAAGTTAACTACATGTTGCATGAAAAAGTACTTTCTCTTGTCAGTGTTAAACCTGTTACCTAATAATTTCAGCAGGTGCCTCCTAGTTCTAGTATTCTGGGGCTCTGGGAACAACTGCTTTTTTTTCATTTGATTCACTTGGTCTGTACCCTTCATGATTTTTATATACCTGTGTCATCCTTCTCCTTTCAAAACTGAAGAGTCCTTGCCTTTTTAGTTTTTGCTGGTATGGCAACTGCTCCAGGCCTCTGATCATTTTGATTGACCTTCTCTGTACCTTATCTCAAATAAGGCCGTAGTGAACAAAATGTTACTGCTACATGAAAATGGGGTGACACTTTTATTCTCTTACACTATGCACTGTTAGTTTTTGGTACCCATGTATGGCATTTTGAGAATTTTTTTTGCCTGTTGTTCTCATGCTTAGGTTCTATAATAACAGTTTAATAGTTCATGTATAAAACCCAATCTTTGTTACATCATTGATTAGTTATCTTGAAAGTAATCCTCATTTTGGAGATAGTTCCAGTTTATCTCATAATGGACTACAGGAAATTTAGAGAAACAGAAGGCAAGCTACACCTGTTAAATTGCAGACTTGTTAGAGTGATTTATACTTGTATTCCAAATTCTCAAATTATGAGTTTCTAATATTTTCTAGATCTCTCTGCTTGTATGTAAAATGGAGATGAGATGATTGCAGATCATTTGCCCAAGATCTTTTATTTACTTGTCATTTAATCAGAGTAAAGTGTTGCTTGCTAGTTATGCAAAAAATCAGTTTCACACATTATTGATAAATAAGTTGCTTATATATTTGTTTTTATTTTTCAGATGTACTTTCAGGTTTCCCAGCACAAACATCAAGATAACATTCACAGCTCTGTCCAATGAAAAGAGAGAAAAACAGGAGGCCCCAGAGTCCCCAGTGAAACCCGTGCAACCCCAGATCTCTCCCTTAACAATAAACATTCCAGACAACATGGCTCACCTGATCAGCCCTCTCCCTTCTCCCACAGGAACTATCAGGTATTTAAACCCTGCAAATTGCATGTAGAGTAATAGATGGGTTATAGAATTAGTGTAAATTTGTAGTTTGCATAATGTTGCTTGGCTTATGTAAAAATACTTACGTTGGAGTGCCAAATAGCGTAAAATCAACCGTTTCATATTCTCAGTGGCTTCGTATTCAGTTAAGTACACAAGTCAGGTCTTTATGTTAGCAACAGAATTAAAATTGCCAAAAGCAGGGAAATTTATTTGAAGTTGTACTTGGAACATACTTTTGTTTCACGTGCTCTAAAACTGAAAACAGTAGGTGAGTCTGCATTTCTCATTTGCTGATGCATCTGGGTACACTAGGTGACATAAGAATGATCAATGTTAAGTTACTAGCTTTGTTTTTGTTATTCATATGCTTATGCTGTTTTAATTGAGACTTTGTTTCCATGGTTAATACTATTTTTAAATAGCTCTCTGAAATCCAGCATCTTCTGTTTTCTGCTGTAAGTGTTATCAGTAGAAAAATGCATTGTTAGCACGAGGGTGGGCAAAATGCAGCTCGTGGGCCAGATGTGGCCTGCCAGGTGAGTCTATCCAGCCCATGGGGCCCCTAAAAAATTTAGAACATTTATATTTATCTGCCCTGGCTGCCTGTCATGAGACCCTTGATGGCTTGCCAAAACTCAATAAGCGGCCCTCAGCCCGAGATAATTGCCTGCCCTTGTCTTAGCAGTTTAGCGGTACTTGCTTTGGAGGGTGGTGATTTCTCACTTCCACCAAAAAAAAAAATAAATTTTGGTATTGATTTATGGCTTCCAGGAGTCAACCATGTTTCTTCTTTAAAGTGTCTCAGTACAATATCTGGAATCAGAATAAGTTTAGTATTGAAATATATAGAATCATAGAAAGTTAGGGTTGGAAGGGACCTCAGGAGGTCATCTAGTCCAACCCCCTGCTCAAAGCAGGACCATCCCCAACTAGATCATCCCAGCCAAAGCTTTGTCTAGCTGGGTTTTGAAAACCTCCAAGGATAGAGCTTCTACCACCTCTCTGGGTAACCTGTTCTAGTGTTTTACTAACCCTCCTAGTGAGAAAATTCATCCTAATACCGAACTTTAAACTTCCCTTGCTGCAACTTGAGACCATTGCTCCTTGTTCTGTCATCTGTCCCCACTGAGAACAATCTAGCTCTATCCTCTTTTGAACCCCCCTTGAGGTAGTTGAAGGCTGCTATTAAGTCCCCTCTCAGTCTCCTTTTCTCTAAACCAAATAAGCCCAGTTCCCTCAGTCTTTCCTCATATATCATGTCCCCCAACACCCCTCACCATTTTTGTCACCCTCCTCTGGATGCTCTTCAATTTATCTACATCCTTTCTGTAGTGGGGGGCCCAAAACTGAACACAGTACTCCAGATGTGACCTCACCAGTGCTGAATAAAGGGGAATAATCACTTCTCTTGACCTGCCAATGCAGCCCAGTATGTGGTTAGCCTTCTTGGCAATGAGGGCACAATGCTGGTTCATATTCAGCTTGTTGTCCACTGTAACCCTCGGGTCCTTTTCTGCGGAGCTGCTGCCCAGGCAGTCAGTCCCCAGCCTCCACTGGTGCATGGGATTGTTCCATCCGAAGTGCAGGACTTTGCACTTCTCCTTGTTGGACCTCATGAGATTCCTTTTGGCCCAATCCTCCAATTTGTCTAGGTCACTCTGAATCTGTTAACTTGAATCTGCCAGTTTAGATGTGTTGGTTAATTATGTACATAATTATTATATACAAAATTAATCATTCTTTTTCTCCCTGGTGTAAAAGAAATGTGGATAGAATTTTAAGAAGCTCCAAAGTGTTTTAGGAGCAGGAGTCCAAATGAAAATGTCTGGGTCTTGTACTCCTAAGTCATTTAAGTTTCTGAAAATTCTACTTTTTCTTTTCAGATTGTAGGTCTACTTAAGTCAAGGAATTTAAAGCTAATATATTTAATTTTATTTCTACTTTTAATATTGGATCCCATTAATGAAGCCTACGTTTAGAGATGAACAAATTCTGTTAATCAAAGGGGGGGGTTTCAAGGTAGCAGTAATAATAGTGTGAGGCTTATAAACGGTTTGTGTAAGAGGTGAAAAAAAACCCCACACCCCAGAAAAAATATACTTTGCCCACAGCTTGTAAATATTTCAAGTATTTATTATGTTATCTATATCACCTGTGCCTTTGCATTACCACAAATACTTTAGTTGTCTTTCAAGCTTTTCAAATAAGTATTAAACTATAGTTAAAGATGATGGTAGTTTTAAATTTGAATTAGAGCTTGACATTCTCCTTAAAACATCTTGTTTTGTAGTGGACTCATCAACTTGCTTTGATTACTATGTTAGTGTGTCAGTATGTGGTATAGTGAGCTAAGTAAAGGGATACTGTCAGTTGATATGTGCAAAACTTAACATAGCACAGCAGTGACCTATATTTTCAAAAAGTTGTCCTGACCCTTTGGCGCTCTGTCTGCAAAACCAGAGTTTTTTCCATACAATATTCTCACCTCCTGGGCAATCCAGTTAGAGCAAATCCCAGGTGCTAGAATTGTGGCAACTGGAAATTTTTCTTTAAAAAAAAAAACAAACAACCAGAAACGTGTTGGTTTTTTTTTTGTCACAATCTCCAAACAAGTGTATATCACCATCTCTGTTTCTTGCTTATTTTTTCACGTTTACCTTTTTTGGTTCTGCTGAGGGCAGAATTTATTGCAGTCAGTATGTAAACATTTCTGAGGTCTGTTTCCTGACATGAAATTATCCAAATAGGGAAAAATGTTGCCCACTGACATTCACAGAGATAAAGGGATAGTGGGAAATCAGGGGAAATGGCATCTTTGTCCAGCTATGCTTCAAGTGCACTGTAGAACAGGGCTGTCCAACTGCCTACATGTGGCCTGCAAGGGGTTAAGTTGCAGCCCCCAGGCTCTACTGTCCAGCCGCAACTCTCCAGGTTTCGTCTCCTGCCTACAGCTTGTGTTCTGTGCTTGCTGGGCGAGATGGCACAGGGTGCTCAGGGTGAGACTGGGGCCCTGCAGTGGGGCAGGTGCTCAGTATTGTGCGGTGGGGGGAGGTCATGTTCCATGTTGCATGGTGCAACAAAGCGGGGCATCCATGTGGCATGTGACCTAGGGGCCCATGACCCCCACTGGCACGGCCCATAGCTGCTTAGAAGTTGGACAGCCGTGCTATAGAAGATGAAAAAACAAAAACCTGGGGAAAATGCTATGGTGCAAGCTGATTTCAGCGTCCAGTGATACTTTAGCTCCTCAGCTACAAAAGTAGCTCTTCAGTTTACCACCTGTGGCTTTTCACAGAAAATAGGGTAAAAGGGTTTTGCTTTTGTTGTTGTTTTACTGCATGCATTGGGTTGGGTATGGCTTTCCTGCCATCTTAAATACTATAACATCTGCCATCTATGTCTATTAGTTGTGGTACAAGCACAGTAGTTTTCTTTTGAACTTAACTGTTTGCCACAATTCACCTGGAGGAGGGAGGGCCATGCATTCATTTCAGGCTGCAATTGGATTGATCCCTAATCCCAAAAATAGTGTCTTCTGCTATGCCACACATGCTTAGCAGGAGGCGCAGTTTTGGAGTTAAGGATCGGATCCCAATTGTGCTCTTCCTACTTGCCATTGGGGGCTAGGGGGAGCAGTTAAGGGGAGCTTCATTATCCTGGGCTCTCCCTGCACTAGTAGTTTGAAAGCAAGGTGCCTGCAGGTCTGGAACTGACAGCCAGCTAACATTAGTTCTGGCCAGGGACCACACAGCCTTGAACTGGCCCCAGCCCTGCTGGGGTCCTGCTACACATTCAACAGAAGGTGCCATACAAACCAGCTGTAAAAGTGTTGTACATTATTTCTATTATGTTATTGTTTAACATAAAACTAGGCAATGCTAAAACAGGGCAGTTATGGTAATTCTCACACATGCTTTAAATGAAATTGATTTTAAATCAGTAAAAACCGTTACTTATGGCTTATTGTTCTTGTTACATTTTTGCAACCCCACTATTGCATCCAGTCCCAGAAATATGGCAACAGTAGTTTTCTTTAGCAGGCTAAACACAAACATCTGGTGCAAATCTGAGGCAGGATCTATCTCTGAAAAATTTCAGATAGGAGAGCCAGATGAGCATCTCAGATTTTGGGTTTTATAAATTCCAAATACAATGGACATCACTATCAGCAAAACTTTCATGTACATAGCCTAACAAAACAATTGATCTTTCTTTGCTCTTTGAAGAGGAGTGTCTGGAACTTCATTTGATCGGACTCTTCCTGCAGTGATTCTAATTCTTACAGCTGAGTTATAAATCTTGTTTTCCAAGCATTTATAATCTGACACAGTCTTGACTACAGTCTGGGAGCTCTAGTGGGTTTTCCTGTAATAAGAGCTTTTTGATTAGAAATAATGTGGTGATATACTGTATAACAAAATAGTAGGATCCTGTTTTTGTGTTCCACAGTGCTGCAAATTCCTGCCCATCTAGCCCCCGTGGTGCAGGCTCTTCAGGGTACAAAATGAGTCGTGTAATACCATCTGACCTACATTTAATGGCTGACAATTCACAGTCAGAAAATGACAAGGAAGCATCGGGTGGAGATAGCCCAAAGGTAAATGTTGCTTGGAACTGAACCACAAAATAAAGCCTTATGCCAAATGTAACATTGTTGGAAATCTGTTGGCCAAAATACATGAACCCAGATATGATTTGGCACTTAGCAATTGAAAACAATTTTGGAGTCAGAGCCCTTTTTTAATTAGATGCATCGTGTGTTGATTTTCTTTTGATATAGACCTACATTGAAATTTTTGTGTCCGTTATGCATACCCATTTTTAGGTGTTAGCAGAGTTGGACTTACTTAAATCTGGTGTTAGTTTCTCATGGTTTCCAGCGTTATCTTAAATTTTCCTAATTGGAAGTTTGTTTTAGTTCATTCTTTTTTAGATTGTTTCACCAAAAAGTGTTGAAAAATTAAATTAATTGCATTTTGTGAATTTAGTAAAGGTTTATACAATTGTTAAGTTCACTGGTGCATATGGTTTGTTTTTGTTTTATTTTTATAGGATGACTCAAAGCCACCTTATTCCTATGCACAACTAATAGTACAAGCAATTACAATGGCACCTGATAAGCAGCTTACACTAAATGGAATTTATACGCACATAACGAAAAATTATCCATACTACAGAACAGCAGACAAGGGCTGGCAGGTAAATCTGATTTTGTGTGTGTGTGCTTTCTTTGTGGTGTTTGTTTTTAAGCTGTGAATAAAAATTCCAATGTAGCCAACAGAGGTTTGACAGCAAATATACCGAGGTAACTTGTTTTGTTTATATTGGTTATATTTAATGAACCTGACAAGCCTTCAAAGGTTTTGGGATGACTTGAATGGGTTATAAAAGTGTGTGGAGATAGAGGCATCTCTGACTCTACAAGGTGAAACGCACCTTCAGTTTTTCAACAAGGTTATTCCATATAACTCCAGTAGGAGGACTATAAAGGATTTCCATGGGCTAAAAATACTATAATCACTGGTAGGATAAAAATACCTACCAGTGAATACAAGAAAATTGTATTCTGTTTGAATTACTACGTATGTAATACTACCTCAGCAAACCAAAATGAGATCCCTAATTATCTGAATCCAAGCCTGTTGAAAGTTGTGGCCTTGATCATGTGACTCTAAGTTACAGGTACACACAGTTTGCTTTAGTTTGTCTTGAATTGGTATCTGCCTCATTTTTATTTTTGGATGTGTGCAAATTAAATGCCATTTGCCAATTTGCTCTGTCTAACTATATTGTCTTAACAAGCTAAGCCATCAATTTCTTCAAAATGTAAGCTTTTTTTTTTTTTTTTTTTTTTTTTAAAGCAGATTTTGACCACAGCTCACTGCTGGATGATCAAATGTTTAGCCCAATTCCGTATGTTTTTCCTAAGCATGCAGAGATACAACTTCAGTGCCTCTGCTGCTACTTCTAGTTTTACCGAGGGAGGGTAGAGAGCAATTAGCAAAACCGGTCAGTTCACAGTTGCTATTCAGGATCCTGTGGGCAGCATTGCAACTACAATGTCAGTCAGGTCATATCGGTTTCACTGTGCTGCTGCTTAGCAGAGTTATGATCTGCAGTCGAAACAGACACTGAAGTTATTTACAGGGCAAATGAGAGAGATGGGGGAGGGTTAAGTAACAAAGAACTACTTTCTACTTACCATGCAACTAGTAAGTTAAAGAATATGCTCCTTCACCTTTGCAGCAGTAAAGGGGAATTGACCTTTCAGATTTATCACAGAACTACTAGCCCTAGAGGCTATATAAAAATAGTACACTCTCCTTATTCCCAGTAGCTGAAGGTATCGGACTTCTGGGCTTCTCACCAGGGATTCCACTGCCAAAGGCCTCCCCCTTTCTCAACTTTTGCTCTGGCTAGTCTGTGTTCAGTAAACTGCTCAAGCTGTACGTGTACATCTTTTCTCTTTCGTGTAATATGGTCTTCTGCTTGCATACCGTGTATATATATGTAGATTCTACCCTGGCAGTAGAAGCTAGTGTTAAAATATTTTTGCGTACCTTTTATTTTGAACATAATCCTTAAATTTTATATATCTGGTCTATATATTGCATTTTTTCCCAAAAAATCTGGTTGGTTGATACAGCATCATGTGTTCTTGTATAATCTGCATTATGGTTTGTAGTATAAAAATCAAGCATTTAAATGTGTAATACTTTGCAGAAATAAAATTGCAGACACAGGATGCATCTTCATTTCAGAGAATTGATAAAAAGTTCACCCTTATTCCTAAAAAGAAATAGGAAGGTATAAAATGCAATAGCTGTGTAGGTATTTTGTTTGGTAGTCATGTAGAATATTACTATGATGCTAGGCAGTTTATCTCATTTTTTCATTCAACCTCCAAGTTTCAGGCATTTGATTGCAGTTTTAGAAATGTAGGTGTTTAAGATTAAATATGTTTATCTACAATCTCACAAATATTTGATCCCTTTCTATTATATAAAAGCCTGTTTTGTTGAGGATTCATCACAGTGAACTCATTCTGGGGGTTATTTTGCTTCCAGGTTAGAAGTGTTGGATTTACTCTTCTCTCCAAGCAGATGGAGATGTAAATACAACTGTGATAAACTTATAGTCTTAGCACCTTCTGGCCATTCTGTTTCAGTCTTTGGCAAGGGAAACATCTTCTGGTTGCATCAGATTGCACTGAAGAAACCATACAAGGGTATCATTGCTTTAAGTTCTCCAGACCTGCTGCTAAGGTCATGACTGAGGTGTTTAAAAGGCTGACCTGACATTGGATTGGCATTTAATTTCGAAGGTTTGGAAGAGTTTTGATTTTAAAGGTTAAATTTTCCCCACCAGCTGTTTGTGTTAACATTCAGCATATCAGAGGTACTGTTAGTGTGTAGTCCTATTTGTTTTTACTGCCTCGGTAATCAAAATCAGAAAGATCAAGATATGATGTCTCTCTATAGGAGATGCATGAAACCAAGGGCGGACTTGGTTCTGTTGGCTTCAAAACTGGCCACTTCATGCATCTCTATCCAAGTGGAAGTTCAGTTTACTTTGTGTCATTGCAGTTTGGGGATACAGTAAAGGTGCGGTCTGTAACATAATCTGAAGATCTTTGTTTATGTTGGAGAACTGTATTAGAAGTCATTGTTATTTAGTGTTTTTCCTTAGTTCACTAAATCCTTTGATTATTTAATGAGAGTGTCAAATGAAAGGCATCTTTCCCTGGACTGGGGAAGAATAATTTGGAATTGAGAAGTTGCTAAGAGCATTCTCCCTATTTTTGTCCTCTGATGAACGGTAACTCCCAAGTATATAGCTGCATTTAAAATTTCTCCACCCTAACATTCACTTTTCTTACTATGGAATAGTAAATAGCATATTGTGCCAGATCTGTATCAGAATCAGTATACAGTATGTTTTAGAAGCCCAATGGGAACAGCCTGACCTTTTTTCCCTTTGAGAAGCAGGATGCATGAGCGCCAGTAGTTCTTTGTTATTTGCTGTTTTTATACCCAGACAACTCTTTTAAAAAAAAGTTTTAAAAAAAAAATTAAAGCTCTGTTGTGGCTACCATCCTTCTCACTAGAGGACTGAAATGGAATTCCCTTAGTAGCTCATTTAATATTGTTCTTTAATTGTTATGAGAGGTCTAAGCAGTACTTAAGATTCCTTTTTTCAGGTTCAGCACAACTGTCTCTGTAGCCCTCCTTAATTCCTACTATCTTTAGAGAATCAGAGACCTGAACCCTAAGTCTCCTGTATTACAGACTACTGCACTTGGCCACACTCTGATTTCAGATGTATGAATTCTACATATTTTTCTTATGTTCCATAGAATTCAATACGCCACAATCTCTCTCTGAATCGTTATTTCATCAAAGTACCACGTTCCCAGGAAGAACCAGGCAAAGGCTCATTCTGGAGGATAGATCCTGCCTCTGAAAGCAAATTAATAGAGCAGGCTTTTAGGAAAAGGCGGCCTAGGGGAGTACCTTGCTTTAGAACCCCTCTGGGACCACTCTCTTCTAGGTAAGGAAAAACAGATGAACCGAAAGACTATGGCTGTTTCTTAACCTTCAGGCTGTTACAAACTTGAGAGCTTTGTTTACAAGTTTAATTATTTAATATAAAATTGAGTGTGGTTGAATTCTGTGAAATTCACTAGTTAGGCTGCCCCCATGCAGTGGGCCTGTTTTTATTGCTTGATTTAGTGTTAATAAACTGACTCAATTTAGATAAGTAATTGGCAGCTTGTTAATATATGGAGATGTTTCTGTACTGCAGTGTTACAAAATTAAAACTGTAATTACTAACTTTATCTACTTTCATTTAGAACTGTTTATATAGAAAATACCAAATCTGAGCTGACAGTTTTATATTAAGGTGAAGGTGACAAATGTATGTTTAGTTGGGTAATATTAACCAATATTCTTAATGGTGAAATAATATATAGATTTAGTTATTTGCTTTGTAAAGATTATGTCCCTTTTCTGCTTTTGTTGGCATCTTTTGAATTAACCTTTAAACAGCTGATCATCATTCTGTCCCTCCAGAACAAACATTTGTACTGTTGCATGGATTGCTTAGAAACGTCACATAAGAAAATGCCCAAATGTTCAATTCCATAGCATCAAAATAATATACGGTGGTATTGATTTGGCAGAAGGCAAAAGGTGCCCTCTCATGGACAGTACATATATTACAATATTTTAGAGGTGAGGTCACTCATTTTTAGTTATTAACATAAAACACACCAGCTGCTGCTTTCATTTTTAAATACAGAAGTGCCCCAGCTTCTCCTAATCATTCTGGAGTGTTATCTGCACACTCCAGTGGAGTACAGACCCCAGAAAGCCTGTCAAGGGAAGGATCTCCAGTCCCAATGGAACCTGAACCTAGTGCTATCCAGCCAAAATTAGCAGTAATACAAGAAGCACGGTTTGCACAGAGTGCCCCAGGTGAGAAATCTAGAAAGAATATTTTTTGGGGGGTGGGGGGGAAATGTTTTTTTTTTTTTCTTTTTTGAGCAAAATTCTCACACCTAACCAAGAAAGCAGTCCGTATTTTCAGACAGATAACCTATTAAAATGTAAGGCAATGCAGGGACAAATGCATAAATACGATGTGTAAATATTTCCTGAAAATGTATCAGACGTATTAGCCATTCTCTTTCTGTTATACATGTTTCGTTCCAGCATAGTTATTCATTGTGTGGGTAAGTGGAGGCAATAGTTCCTTCTGATGTATAAAAGTGCAGGGTCTTATCATTGTCATGACTCACTCTGGAAAATTATTGAATAATGGTTGTCTTCACAGGTAGAGCAGAAATGTGCATTAAAAGGTCCATTAGGGATGAACTGGTGAAAACTAATGTAATCTGGATCGTGGGTTTGTGTGCTCAGTAAATACTTTGCTTAAGGATAGTAAATCTGCAGTCATTTCACCCTTGCTGTAGTGGGGGAGTGGGGTGGAAGAGAATCAGAATGGAAGTCATTGAATCTTAAACGTTTTTTCTGCCACTGCATTTAGCTGTGTGCATGTGGTGTTAAGAGTTGTGGTGATTAGTTTTCTTGTGTTCTAGTTACTCATTTGCCTAATGATGACATGTCTGCTTCTTACAGCAAGTTGAAGACCCATGTAAATGTTAGGTTTCATGTAAAGATACCTTGAGTTAGCGATAGCAGTTGGACCCTCAGAACCCTGCAAGCTAAGGCCAGGTCTCCATTACAGGTTCTGCCACCCAGAATGTTGACACGGCTTCATATTGTGAAGTGCCATAACAGTCTCTTATTACCCAGTTTTAGCTTTTTTTATCATCGTAGTAATTAGTAAAGGATACACACAGGATTTTTTAATGTTACGAGGCTTCAGTGTCTGTTGAGATTTAAGAGGATGATTGACTGAGAAAATACTTGATTCAAGGTGCCAGTCTAATTTTTCTACTTTTCTCAATAGGATCACCTCTATCTAGCCAACCAGTTTTAATTACTGTACAACGGCAGCTACCACAAACTATTAAACCTGTCACCTACACTGTTGCAACTCCTGTGACAACATCAACATCCCAGCAGCCTGTAGTTCAAACCGTTCACGTTGTTCACCAGATACCAGCTGTGTCTGTCACGAATGTGACTGGATTAGCGCCAGCAAACACTTATACTGTAGCTGGACAGGCAGTGGTCACACAAGCTGCAATGGTAACCCAGTCTAAGGTAGAACCTCAAGAGAATGGAGACCACAAAGAAGTAAAAGGTAAGAATTAGCTGAGCTTGGTTAGTCTTCTGTGAATACATATAACTGTTTAATAGCCTTTAAAAAAATCTTCATATATACAACAAAAAAACCCCAAAAAACATTAGCTAAAACTAGAACTTTTGCCTTTTCAGCTATTTTGAGGTTATTAACACATTGAAGACTAAAATAACTTAATTACTTCATGTTTTGTGTTAAAGTTTCTTGACTTACCATTACATTTTAAATCATTTTTGTTGTTTTGCAGTTAAAGTGGAACCTATCCCTGCTATTAGCCATGCTACAATAGGAGCTGCTAGTCGCATCATTCAGACATCTCAGACCACGCCCTTACAGACAGTTACTATAGTGCAACAGGCACCACTAGGTCAACACCAGCTACCAATAAAAACTGTAACACAGAATGGAACACACATAGTACCTATCACCACAGCGATACAAGGGCAAGGCAACACTGGTAAGCGTTTCATCAGTATTTCCTGTAGACAAACTTTTCTGGTGTCAGAGCTGGCTTCAGATTATCCATTTAAGTATTAGACTTTTCAGAATGGCCATTGTTAAATCTTATTTAATTCCTTTCTCAGACCTTTGCACTCCTACGAAAAGCTGCTGAAGTTGCAGAGACGGCAACCTGCAGCCTCAAGGATGACAAGCCCCAAATCAAACACAGTCTAAACATCACTTCTTAATGCTTTTGTAGCTCTTCAAAACTTACAACCTCTTTTGTGGGAACTGACACAATTAAAATGGCAAGCGTATCTTTGTGCAAATTAGAGCTCAAACAAAATGCAGGACTTGTTTGTGGGGCTATCATAATTTCTTGCATGCATGCATGCATTTATGCATACACACCTTTTCCCCAAAAATCAGCTGCTGGAAATTCAGGTGCACATTTCAAGCAAGGAAATATGGTAACAGCTTCTGCTCCACATGCCTCTGGTGGGGAAAGAGAAAATGAATGCTGCAAGTGCTGCACAAGGGGGCTCCCTAGCTGCTAGCAATGGACACTTTCTCTTTCACCCAGCAGTGGCTTATGTGGTTAACAGAGCAGCCACAATATTTCTCTGCACTGCCTGCCTCCCAGCCTTCCCATTAAAGCTGCCTGTATTTTTCCCAGGGAAAATACCATACTTATGAGGTTTTTTAAGGAAAACTTGTTTCCTTCGTTCTTTCAAAAACAAGGCATGCATCTTAATCAGGGGCATGTTGTATGCAAGAGAATGCAGATTTTCTTCTTTAGTTTTCTCACAGGTTTGGGCAGAAACAAAATATTAAAATCTGCAAGAATTTCAGAGGGTTGTTTTGAATAGTATTTGTCTGTGTGCCTTAAATACCATCAGTCCGCTCAGTTCTTGAGTAAGCAGCCTGATTGGGTGGCAGAACAAATGTGTGTCTGTCACGTGTCCAGATTTTGGTATGGTTTTCAGGTAAATCTAATTCTCACTGCCCATTTCCTTTTGAGCTAAGGATACCTTGCACCCTTTTTTTTGAAACACCAATTTGTCAGAGATGGATAAATATGATTTTTAAAATGATCAGAAATATGTTTTTAATCATTAAAGTCCCAGGCTTTTGTTTTAGTTGCTTGCAAGGTGCTCAACATTCAAGGTATAATATAATATTATTTTCTATGCCATTCTTCTATATCCTAATATTTGTACTGTTTTTTTATTACTACTGCATATTGAAGATTTTGAGTTTACTGTCCTTTTTCAGTTGTATTAGGATACTAAAATGTTCAGATTATTCCTTCCAGTATGCATCATTTTCAGTCACGTTGGTGTTGCCCATTTGGTAGGCTTTGAGGCCCATGTGAAATAACTGCTCTCCCTTTCTAAATTTTGTCATGTGCAAATTTTTGCTACTTCCAGTGTTCCCTTTTGAAAATGGGATTTAGAATTCTGATTTTTACTGCAACTCCAAAGTAGCTTCTCCTTGTGCATTCTGAAGCTAGCAGTTTCAAGAAGGCAGTCACTAAACTACCTGCTTAAAAGCTGGTTTAGAGAAGCAGTTCTTCTAGTCTAGCTGCCTGTTATTCCATTTGCTTGGAATAAGTTAAGCTCTCCACAAGAGGCTTCATATAGGAACTGTTATTGTCTTCAGGCAAGGCTCAGACTGTTTGATGAAGATACCCAGTATGTGTGGGTATCTAGTCTTAAGTAGTCTACCTGTTAGTCTATGCCTGAATATGTTATGCAAAACCCCTCTTAATAGAAGCAGTCTTTGTAGTTGAAATCTTTAGCTAGTTTTCGATTTATAAATCCAGTTTTTCACATATTCTTTGTGCAGAACTTCACCCGAATGAAACAAGTCAGCATGACATTTCATAAGTGTTTTTTATTTTGATTTGATTAAATATGTTATATTAAATTTGATTAAATATGTTATCATTGGCAAGGAAAGTTAATTACTTTTTGATGACTGTAAGAAGCTTAAGTAGATATCTTAGTGATGTGGGTATAGTCTCTCACTATTTATATTGTCCCTAGGATACCCACTAACTTAACAAACCCAGTAGTGCTCTCTACAGTTCCTGGAATTTCCTGGAATTTTGCAAAAAACTCTCGATCATGGGACTACATAGTCTGGAGTAACACAACAATGTAAGGAGTATTTGCATCATGTGAATACTTCACAAATTACAGGGCCTGTTCAGCTGCAAAAACAGTTGTCAGAGCAATTCTTTTAAATGCTCAATAAGTAGAGGTGCACCAGTGCATTGGTCCCATATTGGATCAGCCCTGATACAGGAAAAATTGAGAGCATCAGCAATCGGCTTTTTTGCCTCATGTGACCTATAACATGGTGATAAATGCCCTGTGCATGTGCACAGCCACAGCTGGCACGCAGCCTGGCGGCTTGGAGAGCAGCATTGGCTGCTAAGTGGTGTGGGGAGAGAAAAGAGGGGGCAGATGGAGGCCCCCATGGTGAGGGAGGAAGTGGGGCTGGGGCAGGCATTGCTCAGCCAGGGCAGGGCAGGACATGGGACAGAGCCATGAGTGACTCATCTGGAGGGCAGCTCCTGACAATGCATGCATCCCAGGGGGGCATGGGGGTTGTCTCTCCTCAGATCTGCATGGGGCAGGGTGGGCTGCCACTGCAAATTGGGGCTGGGGCTGTGCTGGGCTCTTCCCGGCAGGGGGGCTGGGCCAAGCTTCACTTGGGGTGAGCAGTGGTGGCACTGAGGGGGGGGGGGGGCCTATGGTGAATTTTGGGGTGACTAACTCCCCCGTATCCTCCCTCCCAGCACCAATAGCACCCTCAGAGTGTCACCACTATCCACCCCAAGCAAAGCCAAGCCCAGCCCAGCCCCCACCAGGAAGAACCTAGTGGTGCCCCAGCCTGCCCTCGCACCACATGCAGATCCAGGAACACACACCCCCCCATGCCCTCCCAGGGTGCATGCAGCAGCAAAAGCCGCCACCCCTGCACTCCCCGGATGAGACTCATAGCTCCGTCCCGTGCCCTGCCCCAGCTGTGCAGCACCTGCCCCAGCCCCATTCCCTCCCTCACCACGGGAGCCTCAATCTGCCTCCCCCCATCCCTTCCCCCACAGCAGACTTACCAGCCCAATGCTGGTCTCTAAGATGCCTGGCTGCATATTGGATTGGTATCAGCCATTATGGCTCCTTGAAAATCGGCCAGCAGTATCGGTCCAAAAAATCTCTTATCAGTGCACCCCTATCTGGAAGAAAATACAAAGAACATTTTAAGTGGGAGTCAAGGTTGTAAATATATATCTGATACTCAGGGGGAGAAACCCCAGGCAGTTTGAAAGACAGAAAATAAAACATAACTGCTGTTTTTTAATATTTTATCCTTATTGTAGCTGGAAAATAGCACTTTCAGATCTTAACATCTCTGCCCATAGATCTTCGTTGCCTTTCATTTCATTGGCATTTCAGCATAGGATTCAAATTGGAGGCAGAGGCGGGTAAAAATTAAATCTACCATTTCTGTTTATAATAACATTATACAACTAGACTTGCCTTACTCTAATTTTCAATGTAGATTTGAAACTGTAGCACTCGTATACAGCCATACACTAACTCTGACCCTTTACACTGAGTTGCAGCAAGTGCCTCATTCTATTAAAAAGACTCCCTAATATACAACATACTAACTCTCTTTACTTTTCAAATGCTAATAGCTAACAGGAATGCAAAACAGTGTCTTGTACCTGGTGAGCACAGTGGTTAGGTACCTGAATAGTAGTAAGGATGATTTGTGGAGCATTAACTTTCCATTTCCTAGTTTTTAAATAGGTTGTTAATAACTAGTGGTAACTTTTCTTCTGATGTAATTATTTCTTTGCTGCCTATTCAGAGCACTATTGGGAGCTACTGATGATTCTGACTTGAAATTGAATGACTTCATGTGCCAAAAAAATACAGACAGACAAGAGCACAGGATTTTGTACCAGGAATGCAGCCTTAACTGGGAAGATAAGTGTAAAGGTTGTTTGCTGGCCACATAAAATAATTGCAAACAAGCATTCTCTTCCATAACCAGTTTAGAATAATTTATGCTCTCCATAGGAGACTTCATATATGACCTGTTAGAAGTTAAGAATAGGTTAATTTTAAGTTTCCTAAAGGGTGACTAAAATCAATGAAAATCTATACAAAGCACCTCTTAGAACAAACAAGAGGCTGTTCACACTCTGAAATAGTTTTTATAAATGCTATAGTTCACAAACCACATGGTGATAGCCTTATCCCTGCTTCATTTTCATTTTCCAGCATATGCTGCTTTTATTTTCTAGCTTCCTTTTCAAGGTGATACTGAAGTTCCCTTTCTTTTGTGTAGCAGTTCATGCTGGGTGCTGGGTTTTTTTGGTGCAGGAAGCGCACTGTGCGGTTATTCCTTGATCGTTTTGGTGACCAAATAATTGTTTTATCCTTCTCCTTCCCAAAGGGTGTCACTTGGTTCAGTTTCTTGATAACTGGCACTTTCTAGCACAACACCAGTACAGTATGTGAGCTGTTTTACAGAAATGTATATTTATCATCTCTTCATAATGTCATTGTTCATGTGAAGTATGTGTTTAAGTGTGTCACAGCTGCAGCTGTGTGTACTGATTGTGGGGCTCTTGGCGTAATTTTGTATGAACATTATAGTACTAGGACTGGGGGGGGGGGTCTCCTTCCCCCTAAATACAAAGGAGTAGGAGGATAACTGTTCTGGGAGAGTGTACAGTCTCTTGGGACATGATATCCACTCTACTCACATGACCACAAATGTACTTTGTATGTGCATTATATTCCAACAGAAAAATCCAGGTATTGTGCAACAGAGTTGTTCTAAATACAGATGCCACCAAATGAAGTGATGCAACTAGGAAATCCTGAATTATGTCAGACGAAGTGCACAGCAGCTAATAAGACACGTGGAGGAAGCCCAGCCCCTTTCAACACTCAGGCATCATCCAGCAGATTCACCAATAAAGTTATACTGGCCAAGTAGCTTTCAGCCCATGCTAACCTACGCTAGGAGCTGAGTAGCCTTACCTTTGGGGGAAATGTAAAAGTGACATAAAAGTGCATTCCCCTTCTCCCTTAGTACTTCACTAAGTGCAGGTCAGAGAATTGGGTCCTGTACTTTTGAACATGGAAGTAGACACTGTTCGGTCTGAGAGCAGTGGAGCTCCTACACGTTTTCTCAATAATGTGCCTGTGTGGTGCACTCCAAGAAGAGATAATTTATGTATTACTTAGCAGTCTGTTAAATCTCGGTTATTCATTGCCTGGCTCCACGCATTGTGTATGCCCTTCAAATCCTGTACTTGATACCAGATAAATTTTTTCATGGGCTTCAGTGGAAGGATGACTTTGTCTCCTTTCCAGAGCCTCACTCCAGTTCTGGATGTGTTGCATACCATTCTGGCTCTCTGCTTTGCTTCGGTGCAGCTCGGTCAGCTCACTTCCTTCTCACTATCTAGGTGACAGCAGGAGGAGCTGTGAGAGTAGAGAGCAGAAAATCTCCCAGCTCTTGGTTCTGGTGCTAGGATGACCTGTGATTGTAAGAGAGGCGCCGTTAAAAGTTCTCTGCTTAGCAGTGGGCTGTCACATACTCACCTGCTGGGAAATCTGGTGCATATGCAGTGTGGCCCATGTAAAAGGAATGGGACACACCCAGTGCAGACAGGCTGAAAAACGTAGCTGCCAAATTCAAACAAGGCTCTGTTGAGCAAGTGCAAGTTGAGAATTTTCAGTCTCACAACTTGGCCATGCTTCCCAGGGATGCCAGAAGGCATATTCCCTGACACCAGGGCTACCCAAGATCCTTTCCCAAAGCTTGGGGGCACTAGGGTTCATCATGGTCAGACACATTTTAATATGGGCAAAACAACCTACCCCTAGCTTTGTTGTGGGATATGGCAGAACCACATTTGCAGAAGTTTTCCAATAATAATTGAGCCTCTGACAAATGCCTGCATGGAAAAAATTGTCAGAATAATTGTTGGCAGAGGGGAGATGTAGCTCTTCGGTTAAATCTTTTGGACCAGGGTCCAGGAGATCTGAATTCACTTCCCAGCCCTGCCACAGGCTCTTGGTGTCATTTTGGGCTAGGTCACTTAACCTATCTGGCTTTGGTTTTCCATCTCCCAAATAGAGTTTCTTTCCTTTACTATATCTTTTTTATTAAATCTATAAGACTTTATTTTATCAATTTAAATATAAATTGGGGCAGGAATTGTCATCTTTGGACAAAGACAGTAAACTCTTAATTTCATTGGGCCCGCTGTAATGTGGTAAAACGATAAAGGAATCCATTGTATTTAATTACAGAGCAGATTCAGTTCTTTTATTGTCTTGTCTGTTTCAAATGGGTTTGGACTCTGAACTTTTTTGTTGATCTTTCTACAGCTACTGCAAGTCCCTTGCATATGTTAGCAACCCATGCGTCAGCATCGGCATCTCTTCCAACGAAACGCCAGAACGGAGACCAGTCGGAACAGCAAGAACTTAAACGTATCAAAACAGAGGATGGAGAAAGCATAGTCATAGCTGTTAATGTGGACACCCCATCTGTTGCAGTGAGTGATCAAGGCAGCCAGAACTAGAAACTTTAGAGGAGTTTGCTTTTTAAAAAAAAAAAAACTCCATGGTGCCAAAAGGAGACACTTAAATATAACACCTAAAATATTGGAACATGTTCTCACGCAGTGGGGAAAGGGCCCTGTGATCAGACTTCAACTTTCAGCACTGAAAAAACAACACAGGTGGCCTTAAAACTCAGTAATTTAAAAAAAAAGTCAAACTGCAAAGCGTCTTGTTCCAGAGGCTGTGATCCCTCTCCTCCCCACCCCCTACTGAACTAACTGTGTACGCTGAGACATACAGTGTTGGGGAGGGCTGCAGCTTTAAAAAATCTTTATTGGATTATTTTAAGGACTGAGTATCTCAGTGTAACAGCAGCATGATAAGCGCTTAGTGTGAACTGGTTTCAAACGATTGTATATTCCTTAAAGGGAACAGAGGCAAGGAGCCATTTCCTACATCTTGGCAGCTAGCCTTTCATAATGACCTACCCAATGCAGTTGTTGGTAGATATGCAGTATTTTGTTGTTCACATGTGGAATTAGAAATTTTTGAGGTGTATTTTCATTTCTTTGCAAAATAATGGGGTCTTTGACATTTCAAATCACTCCATTTCTACTCTGGAAACTTTGAAATCACACAGTACTTTTCATGTGAAATTTTGTTTGGTAAAAAACTGAATGTAGGGTTTTTTTAACCGATGGAATGATTTACTTTTGTCTGTCCTGTTAAAGTTCAGATAAAGCTACTTTATTACATCTGCAAATTTTCATATTTTAGCAGTTGCCTGATAAATTTAATCAAATTTTATTACCATGTGTAGTGATCAAATGCTTCTTTGGGCTTGCATGTAACTGATTAGAAATTACAATGTAAATGAGCCGTTAACTGACGTTAAAGAACTGCTATGAATTTGACCAGAACTGCACTTATCTGTTTCTCTTCCTTGCTACCTTTTGCTGTTTGTTACTTTGTGTTGACTTTGACTGTCCCTGGCATATTTTTCCAGTCTAAAGTAAAACAAGAGTCTCGCTTAATATTGTGTATGTTTAAGATAACAGACTGTTCTTCATTTAGAAAAGATAAAATTCTTTATCACAAGTCCTTTTAAAAAGAGAGTAAAAATTATCTTGTCAGAGGTATATTCAATATTTTTAAGCTTACACACCCATCAGTAGAAATTAATCTGACCAGTTTATCCATAAAACTTTTGATGTCCTACACTGACCTCCTGGGGTCTCCATTAAGAGTAGCTGTTGTGGTTTTCTAACAGTGGCTACCATATTATTATAATAAAAGTTTTTTTAAAAGTGTGTGGTCTGCAGTTGGACATATTTTAAAATATATTGGTAATTTCTCACTTTAATTGTGGTAGTAGTTTCCACCTTACATTTAAAAATTAAAAGTTAAGGCTGCTGCCCAGTCTATAATTCACACAATGTCTTATTTCTACGTACAGTAAGGTGAGTTTGAAATCTGGAGAGTTGGCTTTAATTTTAGATTCTGATTTGTCATGTGTAATAATCATGCCATTATTTATAATATTTTTTCCATTTCAAAAAGGAAAATCTGTGTTTTTATGATGGACTGAAACGGCTTGGAATGGCTTATTTTAGGCAGCTTTTGGAAACTATTTACTTGAAGACCAAATATGAAAAATCTGTACTAAGTATTGTGTTCATCCACAAAATGGAGCTGTTACAATGTCACTACAGATAATGCATATTAAAAACTATGAAAAAAACTGTACACTAGCTGAATTTATAACAGCCATTTAAAACAAATCTGTAACATAAGTGCCATTTCTGTGAAACTGTCAGACTTTTTATTTCACTTTAAAAGCAAAATGAATTAGAGGTTTAAAAAGGAAGATATACAAAGTTCCCTAGTTGTCTAATCTGATGTTAGATGTCCCTCTAGTTGCAGCCTTAACTGAAAATCAGGGCACTAATTGGCTTTGAAGCACTGATTGGAATTTGGTTTATATTCAGAAGCGACGTCTCACAGTTAGAGCTGAGTGAATAATTAGTGTAAAATATAGAGGTGCACCAATGCATCGATCTGATATTGGATTGTCATCAATATAAAGAAAATTGATTGTATCGCAAATCAGGCTGAAGTGGCCAATAATTTGACCAATAAATGCCCATGAGTGAGCGCAGCCGTAATGCAGCATGCAGACAGTGAGGAGCATAGCCCGGCATCTTGGAGAGCTGCCTCCAGCTGGTATATCTGTTGTGGTTGAAGGGAAGTGAAGGGGCGAGAGGCAGATCAACGCCCCTTGCAGTGAGGGAGGGAGTGGGGCAGGGACTGCGGTTGGCGCTGCCCAGGCGGGGCAGGCATGGGACAGAGCCATGGCTCATCCAGGAGGCACAGGGAGGAAGGTGGTGGCTCCTACCACTACGTGAACCCCGGGAGGCCATGGAGGGGGGTTGCCCCTCAGATCCGTGCGGGGGGGCGGGGCAGGACGGGATGCCAGTGTGGACTGGGGCTGCACCAGGCTCTTCCCTGTGCATGGGGGCTGTGCTCAGGGCTGCGGGGTCACACTTGGGACTGCACTCCTGGTGCACAGGAGCTACACTTGAGGCAGGTGGTGGAGCTGGGAGGGAGGTTGTGGGGGGTTGCAGCCACTCCCATATTTTGTCATAGTTCCTTTTCAGCACTGCTGCTGCTGCCTGCCTTGAGCACAGCCCCCATGTGCCAGGAGCACAGCCCCAAACATAGTCCCCATGGGCAGGGAAGAGCCCAGCACCAGCCCACAGCTGCATCCCACCCCACCCTGCCTTGCTCCCTCCCATGCAGATCCAGGGCGCACATGCCCCACCTCCCCTTGTGCCTTCCCAGGGTGTGTGCAGCAGCAGGAGCCGCCACCCCCCTGCCTCCCCAGGTCCCATGCCCCCTGGACAAGCTGCAGCTCTGTCCCATGCCTGCCCCTCCCCAGCTGGGCAGCATTGACTCCAGCCCCTACCCCACCCCCTCACTGTGGGGGGCATTGATCTGCCCGCCCCCTCCCCCTTCCCCTTCCCCATCCACCACAACAGACTTACCAGCTGGAGGCAGCTGTATCAGAAATCAGATCAGAATCGGCTGTATCCTTAAAAATCTGTATCCTTAAAAATCGGCTATTGGTATGGGCCCCCAAAATCTCTTATCGGTGCACCCTGAGTAAAATGTTTAACAGAAGTTTTATTCAGAGAAGTAAATTGCTTTAACACTTATTTGTTGGGTGGTGGGTCTGTAAAGGATTCACCTGCTGATACCCCTGATCAGAGGGTCTTGTATTGGCAGAAAAATTTGGGGCAGACAAAATGTAGGCTTTGTCCTGATTCAGCTATCCTGGACATGGGATTTGATAGCACCGTGACGTTTAGTAGCTGATCTTGAAAGTTTGAGATTGGGATTCTGACTTAAGAAGTTGCTTTTGTGAAAGCAGAAGCACCTTTCTGCAGAAACTGAGATAACAGAATGTGTGGGTTTCCAAACAATATTTAAACATAGAAATATACAAAACCAACAACAAAAAGTTCATAACCTCTCCCATACAATGAGGGCCAGTATTGGTCTGTCAGGAGTTAGTAAGCTGACAGAACATTCTTTAGCTGTTCAATATACCAGGTAGAAAGGACACGGATGCAATGACAGCGAGTGTATAAAAGTAAAGGAAAGATTGGGTGAGGCTCTTCTCACAGGTGTGCTGTGTTGATATGATACCAATAACCTTACTGAATTAATTTAAAATACCAGTCCCTTGAGTCTTCTGACCACATTGCTAACAGAAATAAAAATAAAAAAGTGTTCACATGTATCATAACCATGGGATCTGACCTCCCCCTACTGTTGAAGTCTCTGTTGCAGTTGGCTCTTGTGATGTGCCATATATTAACTGCCTTCCTCTGGATTCTTTTCAGGATGTCTATTTCTGTTCTACTTCTGTCAAGCCTGTTTTTGTGAAAGTGGCTGCTGAAAAGGCCTTTGTGAGCATGTGGTATATAGCATTGAAGGAAAATAGTCTTTCTTCACCTTTGCTTAGCACTTGTCTGCAGTTGTTTTCTTTCATGCTGTTTTTAGATTTTTGGAGGACAGACTAATGTATGGAAGATAAAGTGTTTACTGCCATCCAGCGCTCTTCCCAAGCTGCAAGGACGTATGTTTGTCCTCATGCTGACTTCGCTGCCGTGAAGCATCACAGAGGTTTCAACCCCACACCTCTCCTGGGAGAAGAAACATCGAGGCTACAGCAGCCTAAGCACTACCACTTTAAGTTAGGTCTCCTGTGTGATAATATCTAGTCTCCAAACAAAAACATTTGTAGTTCTCATTGAGATGGCCATAATGCCTTAAAAAAATCCAGAAATGACTGCAGATGACACCGAGGTGGGGGAGTATAGTAGATAGACTGAAGGGTAGGACTAGGATTCAGAGTGACCTAGACAAATTGGAAGATTGGGCCAAAAGGACTCTCATGAGGTTCAAGAAGGACTAGTGCAAAGTCTGGTACAGGCTGGGGACCAACTGGCTAAGCAGCAGCTCTGTAGAAAAGGACCTGGCGGTTGTGGACAGTAAGCTGAATATGACTCAACAGTGTGCTCTTATTGCCAAGGAGGCTAACGGCATACTGGACTGTATTAGGAGTGTTGCCAGCAGATCAAGGGAAGTGATTATTCTCTTCTATTCAGCATCGGTGAGGTCACACCTGGAGTACTGTGTCCAGTTTTGGGGCCCCCACTACAGAGGGGATGTGGACAAGTTGGAGAGAGTCCAGCAGAGAGCAACAGAATTGGTTAGGGGGCTGGGATAAATGACTTGCAAAGTGAGGCAGAGGGAACTGGGTTTATTTAAGTCTGCCGAAGAGAAGACTGAGGGGGGATTTGATAGCAGCCTTCAACTACTTGAAGGATGCTTCCAAAGAAGATGGAGCTAGACTGTTCTTAGTGGTGGCAGATGCAAGAACAAGGAGCAGTGGTCTCAAGTTGCAGCAAAGGAAGTTTGTTAGATATTAGGAAAAACTCTCACTTGGAGGATGGTGAAGTGCTGGAATGGGGTAGCTAGAGAGGTGGTAGAACCTCCATCCTTGGAGGTTTTTAAGGCCCAGCTCAAATGATCTAGTTGGGGATGGGACAAGATGACCTCCTGAGGTCCCTTCCAGCCCTAATTTTCTATGATTTGATTTATGATTAAATATGTTGATTTGTAACTGAATGTGCCTTGACACTAAAGTAGTATTAGCAATTACAGTATCACTGTTTTAAAAGGAGCACAGCTTACCACACAGTCAAGCTTGTAATTTTTAGGAGCTTGCTGGAAAACAGTGAACAATGCATTTTTATTTATTTTTTATTTGCCAGGTTAATTCAGCTTGTGCAAATGCAATTTCAATTTTTTTTTTAAGCACCAACTAATTTAAATATTTTTTTTAAAGTTCTGGATACATAAAAAGGGAAATAAATTTATCCAAGCATGCTTGTAACTGGCATTGTTGAAGGAAGTATGATCTATATAATTTGTAAATCAATTTGACTTAGCCATTCATATTTAGATCTAGTAGATCTTAGCCCATAATTAATTTTTCATTTTTAAAGGAAAACAAGCTTCCCTGCTTTTTCAGCTCACAAGTGTTTCTTGACTTGGGCTGAATTGAGGTAAAGCAACTACACGTGCCAGTTCACAGAGAGTATAGATGGGTATGACAGTGGAGGTGCTTCAGAAATGGAACACTTAAGCTGTGGACAAGCCCACAGTGACATGTAACACACCCACAACTGGAGGGATTCACAATAGCCACAGGTGTATGCTAGAGGCAAGCCTACTGCATCCTGTAGCCTGTTAGTGAGCACGCTT